TTAGCTCCCGAGCCCTCTGAGCGGCCTCCTCTTCTCGGGCCCGTTGCTCCGCGTCTTCCGCCGCCCTGTCGAGCTCGGCCTGCAGCCGCTGGTTAACGATGGTCTGGAGTTGTGTCCACGCGTCGGCTTCATCGTTAGACATCTCCACGAACTCCTCGTCGTCTAGGTCAAAATCAACAGTGGGGACGGCAACGGGGTGNGGTGGGGGGAGGAAAGGCGGGCCGCGTCCACAATGTCCCGGGGCAGGATGCTGCCCGAGCGGTAAGCTGCAGCCAGAGCCTTGGGGCGGACCGCCTCGATGTCGCGAAGAAGGCCCTGTCCATAGACTTCACGACGGTCCGGGGAAGACTGGGAAGTGTCCTCCACCTGTGAAGACTGGGACGCGTTCTCCACCTCCTCTTCTTCAAAGTCCATCAGTTCCTCCGACTTCTCCGACATTTCTGCTTCTGAAAGAAAAGCGAGAGAACCGGGGTATTCTCGATCACGAATAGAAACAGCAATGGCGGGGGCAGCGGCGGTGGGGGCAACAGCAGAGCCAGGGACAGCAGAGCCAGGGACAGAAGACGCGGTAAAAGTGGGTGCAACGGCCGGAGGGTCCTGCCTGGGTCCAAACGGAAAGCGAAGATATCCGCAAGAGAGCATACGCCCGGCCAGAAAAGCTTGTTTCCCCTTGGTTGAAGCGGATCCAACCAATCATTAAGAACATCCAGAAGCACTCCATGCCATGTACCAACAGCAGTAAAAGCTAGAACAAAAGGGCCTGTACTATACGAGGAGACTAGTTTGTCTGTCCAAAACTCGCGCAGCGCAGCACGACGTTTTGCCGCAACAGGCGCTGAGGTGCGGGGAAAGACCGCAGTGGGTTTGCGCGGCAGCAAAGGCTCCAACTCGAGGTCTTTTACATGCATAGCCGATGGCCCCAAAAAAATAGTGAGTTGTTCTCGAAAAATAAAGGGCAGATCGTTGGTGTAGCGAACGCCCAACTTGTGTGCACGTAAAGTTCGCCATGTCGAAATACGTGGAGTCAAGTCAGAGAGCACCACGGGGAAGGCCGTGGATGCAGGCCGGTAAGCCGGCATAAAAGCAGTAGGAGCAGTAGTAGAAGCGGGGAGCATGCTGTCATCTCGAGCCCCACTAAACAGGGGTTGCAGCTCAGGCCGCTGCCGCCACAACGTATCCGCCACAGAAAGAACTTCATGCACTCCCGAAGCAGACAAAATGGCTCGTGATGGGCATTTCATGTAAGTAAGAAAAATCGGGC